AGAACTCCAGGTCTAAATGCACCACTCACACCCTTCAACAGCACCAATCTATCTTCATCAACTCCTTGCTCTTTCAAATCCTACAAAGTTCAATTCAACCAAGTGGACCCTCAAGAATTAGATCAGAATCTAACTAGTTGTAACTACTATTATGTGAAAATTTTTTTTACCTGTGGCATGTCAACAGAATATGTGATTTCATCGAAGGTGATTGAATGTGGCTCAAAAGGGAGAACCATTCCTCTTTTCTTTGTATGGATGGCCTCAAAAGCTGCCTCCGACATGGATGAGGACTTGGATGATGTGCTTCTTCTAATTTGTTCTGCACCAGCTTCAGCTTTGTAACTGGAGCTATTTCCATAGGTTGATAACTGGATAGCTCCACTAGTTTCCTCAGTTTGTTCAAAGCCTTGTTGTTCATCTTGTATAACAGCCCGAGGCTTCTCAAATGCTGGGTAGAATGGTAGATAACGATGAGTTCTTAGTTCAAAAAGACAAAATATGAGAAGATGAAGATACTCACGGTTGAGAATGGCAAGAGCGAGTGTAAAGAAAAGGTTCAATAACAGTGTAAATCCAAGCAATGCTCCAAATCCTAGCCAATACCAATATGCCTCAGTAAAGAATCCACGAGACTTTAGAACTTCAATGCCAAGAGGTTCTGTTGAGTTTGGAAGAACCTATTAAATGAAAGATAAAGAGGCTATTAGCTAATTATCAGGAAACAATAGCAGATTTGTAAACATGACTAATCCAAAGCATATTACATGTCTCCAACTCCTCCCAAGAAACTCATTCACCACTATAGCATTCTGTCCATACATCAGAGGTGAAATCCAATAACCCCAGATCCACCATTTCTTGATTTGATCTGTGGTATGAAACATAAAACTAATTAGAATACTCTGGCATTTGATCTTGATTAAACAGAGGTTGATTTTTTACCAGAACCAATCATACCTCGTGACAGGACAAAACCACCTAATGCAAATAGTGTTAGCAAAGCGAATGCTCCAAAAGTATTAGCAATAATCATGTTTCTACCCGCTGCTCCAATGAATCGGAATAATCCTCCAGCCATCTGGTTGACTGCCACAAGAAGAATGTACTGCTTAAACAGCCTGTAGAAAGCAAATTACTAAGACATCAGTTATAACTTGTATCAGAACAAATGAGCAAAAGAGTTTTAAGTTTTTCATTTCCATTACCTCCCAACATCAGGATCAAATCCGATGACATAATAGGTTATAAATACCCAAATGGCAACTTCTACAAGTGAGATAGGAATCTTGAGAATCCATGCCGGTAAAGCATATGCCCATGAAGGATAGAACAACATGTCTCTTTGCTTGTAAAAGACAGGAAGCCTAGCAATGGTCAT